CATTCAGAGGCGGCGGGAGCGTGTGACTCCCACAGAGGCGATTCAGAATCCAGCGCGGAAACAGAGTGGCAGTGACCAGCAGGAGATGAGCCCAGGCTCGAGGTCACAAGTCTGGAGGTGCCATCATCGACTTACGTGTTGCCGCAAAGTGACGCCCTCCGTTTCCTAGTTTCTCTAGTGGCCACATGGAGCTTGCTGGACCCTCTCCCCCGAGTCCGAAGCAAATGCCATGGCCGAGACCTGTGCTGCAGTGAAGCTCGAGAGACTCATTGACAGAACTGGATGGTCCTTAGGAGATTACCAGGCTTACATGGGGCTAAGGCCAGAGAGGTGCAGTGCGGTCCAAGGTCACACAGCCAGGTCCTGGAACCAGCAGTGGTCTGCTCCCTCCTTTCCCAGTGGCCGTTCATGCCGCCATCCTTGTCCCTCTCACCTGTCGATGGAAACACGAGTGGGCGCTTTCAGCCGTGCTGGTCGACCCTGTACCCTGGGTTTATTCCTGAGCGACATCGACGTGGCCAGGAGCCTCTTGCCAGCTGCCTCAGGCAGCCCACGGTTTAACCGACAGCCTCTGGCTGCAGGTCCCGTTTACTTTGCTAACCATGTGACCATAATGGGAATCATAGCTGTGGGCGGGGCAAGTGGGGTGCAGGCTGCAGGGCTGAGCAGCACCGGCTGGAGGACATGCAGTGTGAGGGTTACCGGCAGGTGTCCGCTTGGCTAGACCTCGGCTGAGACTGTGGTTCTGTTGCTCTGGAGAAACCTGGTAAATACACGCAGACTTTAGAACGCGACAGGTTGGGGTCCACATCTAAGCACTGCCCCCGCTTAGGTTCCTGACTTCTTTCCCTGTCAGGACAGCGCGGATACTACGCGTACCTGCCACTCAGGGGGCGGTGAGGGCAAAACAGGACGGCAGGTGCAGAGCACTTAGCACACGCCCGGCACAGTGCACCAGGACGAATACTGCTTACTGTGCCGTGTGCATGCCTGCAGCCGTGCAGCTGCGTGGGTCAAGTGCTCCTGTTTTCTGCACCACAAACCAGCCCAAATCTTAGCGCTTCAAACAAGGACTGTTTATTCTCTCTCAGTTGGCTGGCTGAGTCCTGCCAGGTGGTTCTTCCACTCCACTTGGCCTCACCAGGAGGCTGTCGTGGCCACGTTCGTGGGCAGTTCTGCTGTGGCCAACGTGGCCGACGTGGCTTTGCTCACAAGTCTGGGGCCTCAGTGGGGTGACTGCAGTGGCCGGGGCCTCTCTTTCGTCAGCAGGCTAGCCCCCCTTCTTTTCAGAGGGCGGCCACCTCTCAAGTGGGTACCGTGAAAGTGCCCAGCCCCCAGCACACAGCCCTCCCGTCACATCCTCCACTCAGGGAGCCACAGGCCCGATTCAGTGGCGGGAAACCAACCCGCCTGCACCTGGAGAAACGGCACGTGTGCTCGGGCCCGCGCGCGAGGTGGGGACCACTGACTCAGTCCCCTGGGGCCCAAGTCACTTTCCATGTTTGTGACTCCCAGTCTCTACCCTCTGGACCCCTTGGGTCGTGTGTTGCGAGGTCGGGAGCAGGTCGGGAACGCTGGAGCCAGCCTGTCTCGTTTCAGATCCTGCCTCTGCCACCGACTAGCCGGCCGACCTCAGGCAGTGATTTTATTCTCTCAGGCCTCGGGCTCTCGTCAGGACAGTGGGGAGAACGCGTAGTCCTGGGGTGAGCGTGTGCGAAGTTTCACTGAAACATACCGGGGTGTGCGTGTGTACATGTACACGTGTACACACATATATGTGAATACGTGTGTATACCCAGGGACATACATGGACATAAGTGTGTCTGTATTTGTGTGTATACGTGTGTGTGTGTCCCCAAAATTGTGTACACAGCTTTGAATAATTTGAATAAGCCAATGTTTATTAAAATACATTTCATTTTCAAAATGCAGTAGACTCTACAGGCACCCTGTAGGCATTATTTTGGGACACCTTGTATGTGTATACACACAAATGTGTTTGTGTGTGTGTGTGTATATATACACACATAAATTTTGTGCGTAGCTCATACAGATATCTCCCTTCTGATGCATGTCTGCGGCCTGCCGGGAAGCCCCAGCTTGCTGTCTTGGGCCTGGTCCCAGTGTTTTCCAGATCATTTTAACGTGGACCTGAGAGCCGGCGCCCACGCCTGGGGCCTCCTCCGTCAAGGAGGGTTCCCACGCCTGCCCCGGGAAGTGTCAGAAGTGTCCGTGGGCCCTGGTGCAGTACAGACTCTCCCGGGCCCAGCCTGGCTGTGGAACGTGTGTGGGAGCCCGAGGGCAGACCGAGCCGGGCACTCCGGGGCATTTGGACGGAAAGCCCCGCCGAGCTGCTCCGGCCCCTGCCGTCCCCCGGCGGCCGGCGCTGCCTCCAGGGCTTCCGCCTTCGCTGACTGACGTTTTCTCTCCTCCCCCAGAAGCACCGACGCCTGCCGCTCGTGCAGGGCTGGGACTCGGGGCACAGCATGGCCGGTTCCGTGCTCAGATTTTCAGTCCGATGCGCTTTCCCGCAGCACTGAGAAGGACACGCATCCTCGCCTCCCCTTTACCGGGCTGAGCTGAGGTCAGGCTTGGCTCCGGGTGGCCAGACCACCTGGGCCTCCCTCCCTTGCATCCTGAGCTGGTTTCCCCCCACCGAGGTACAGCTTCTGGGCGACCCCCCCCCAAGGCTTTGTTAGTTCCCTGAGTCGTCCCACAAAGAAAAAGCAACAGCCTCTTCTTGAGTATCCATGCTGTATATATATAGGGTGTCCCCTCAAATGCATATACAACTTGGGATAGTTAGAAAGCCAGTGTTTATTAAAATACATTTCATTTTCAAAATGTAATCGAATGTTCAGACACCCTGTAGACATTTCTGGGGGACACCCTGTATATTGCTCTCATTATTACTATGGGAAATCTACTGTCCTGAAGATCAGAGATGCTCAGTAACTCTCGAAAGGGCACGGAGCCAGCATTTGGACCCTCGTCTGCCTCACTGCAGTGCCCTTCTCTTCCTGACGTATCCGAGGGGAGATAAAGATGATTTCTCTTCAAGGCCGTAGGACCTAAATGCTTCCTTCTCACGCAGGTGAAGAAACCTTTTCCCTTTTCAAGTGCACAGACTGCCCTTGGGGTTATAAACACGGAAAGCCAGGAGCTGCCCTGTGTGGCCGAGCGGGAGCCGAGCGGGTGGGTGTCCGGCCGGCGTGGTGGCTGGGGACACGCTGCCCGCTGCCGTTCTCCGTCCAGCCCTCCAGCTGTAAACATGTTTTCCTCCCCACACTTCGGCATCTGTCACGGTTTAAAATTCCAGGTTGCCAGTCCTTGCAGAAAGGGGTTCGGGCCGTGGCATGAAATCACCCTGCCTGTGTCAGCAGGGCTGTGGATGCTCCCGGCTCCCTGCACAGGGTACCCCCTTTGCAGAAGGAGGAAAACAAAGGTTTACGTGTGGAGTTATCAGCCTGGCTCTAAGCCCAACGCCCAGCCCCATCACGGCTGCCGGGAGTCCTTCCGTTTAAAAGATCGTTAGCTGAGAGTGTGGGATGGGTAGGTACAGGAAAAGGTGACTCCCTCCGTAGTGAGCCGATGGTCCCCTTGCCATCCTGCGGGCGAGCTGACCACTGAGCACACTGACGTGGGCGCCTGGCCGCCTGCCCGGAACCAACGGAGCTCTCTGCCTCGTCCACCTCCGTTTGCAGGACGTCACCCAGGGTCCAGTCCTGACGGACTCTTCCTAAGGATGCTTCGGCTTAAGTGAATAAATAGTGATTCCCCGCCACTGGCCAGACCGTGTGGGAGCACGGAACTCGGGCGCCGGGTGTACTTCATTTCTCATAGCAAAGCACTAACCACCGCTCCCAGAAACATTCCCGAGTCCAGACAAACGAAAGGAAGAAGCTAAAAACACTTTTGTGACCTCGCAGAGGTGACCAGTGGAACGGAAGGGTGCACATAGGTGCCCTCGACATCACGCTCGTCCCCGTTGGGCCGCATGCACTTCAGCTTGTGAGCACTCTCACTCCGTCCGTGGACACTGTCCTCCCGCAGCTCTGTCCGCTCACCCTGGCTGGGCCGCCGGACACAGAGCTTCGCAGGGCTCCGCCCGTTTTCCTTAAGCATGGATTCAGCTTTTGCTCTTACGATCAGTGCTTCCGTGAATATTCTCCTAGTTAAATCTCTGCACGCATACTGTCCTGTTTTATTAGGACAGAATTAGGCTGGAGCAGGGGCGTGGAGGCAGGTCCGTGTGCCACAGTCCCCTTGGAAGTGTGGGCCAGTCGCCGTCATCCCCATCGCCCTCCCCGGCCTGGGCACCTGGAGGAATATGCCCCTTGCAGCCTCTTCCCTTTGGCAGGCGTCACAGAAACAGGCACACACTGTTCTCAGCCCCCGTGTCCCCCTCACCGTGGCTGCGAGGTGCCCGGTGTTCCCTTCCAGCCCCGGTTTCTGGAACACACGTCTCCAGTTAATCAGATCACGGTTTGTCGTGTCTGGAGCAGAGCCTGAGGGGGTCTGGTTCACTGTTGTGTCCTGGCGGCCAGCACGGTCTGTTATGATGGTCAGGAGCAAGGGCTCATGGCAGACCTGGATCTGTGGCTCAGCCACTTCGCCGGCCTGAGTCTTCACTTCCTGTCCGGCTTACCCTGTCGCGGCTCCCGCCTGGGGCTCCCGCCTGGCACAGGGATGGTGCGGTTGAAAGGAGACGCAGGGGGAGGGGGGGTGCGGCACCAGGTCGGCGCACAGCCGGGGTGTGCTGGGGGTGCTGGTGAGCGCGTCCTCTGTGCCGGGCTCTGCTCTGAGTGCTTCCCTTCAAACGAAGAAGCCTGTTTTGTGATACATGAAAACGACATGAAATGGACTTTGTCGGAGCACGGCATGCCCTTTCTATACACACAGTTTGTGGTGGCTTTTATGGTGCAGTGGCAGAGATGGGTAACTGGGGCAGAGGTGGTGTGGCCTGCGACACCCAAAATATTCACAGCCCGTCCCTGCAGAGCGAGATTGCCGACTCGGGTTCCAGTATGAGCTCATCCAGTGTTGCAGAGTGCCGATGTCCCTACCATGCCCCTTGTACACATGAGGAAGTGAGGTGCAGAGAGGTTGAGGAATTAGCCTGAAGTCATGCACAGCTTGGAAGCGATAAAGGTGGGGCTTGGTTCCCAGAGCTGGGGCTCTGCCTGGTTCCACCCTGGGGCAGGTGAGGGAGGTGAAGTCGTGTGTTTGTGAGGGTAGAAACAGGATTTAAAACCAATCCAGGGACCTGAGTTCTTGACCTTTCTGTCCTAATGGGCTCTGTCCACTCCTCCAGGCTCCCAGTATCACCTGCTGACCACAGGACCAAACACAGAGAGACATTCACTATGTCCTTAAAAATGCAGGCGCCTGACAACGGGGAGAGATGATGCCGAGACCAGATATGGTTGTGTGCTTTCTCCTACATACCAGCTTCGTCGGTGTTTGTGGAAGGAATGCAGGTAACTAGCAAATAGCTCCTGGACTCTTAAGAGTTTAGACTCAGGAGAGAGGACAGGGACCTCTGGGAAAAGCAGCAAACCCCAGGACCTTGTCATGGGAAGACCTTCCTGGACATCAGTTGTGGTCCTCAGGCGGTGTGGGGTCTTGTACCACAACGCCAAACACTCTTCAGTTCAAATTTCAGTGCAGGAAACTGTGTTTTCCGTGCATCACAACTGGCTTTACTTCTGTTGGTTCCAGATGTTTGGCTTCTTTAAATAGCTTTGCTGAGATTTAATTCACATATCATGTGATTTGCCAATCTGAGAACATTTTCGCCACTTCAAAAAATGTCTGTACCCTTTAGCTTTTGTCTTCCCACCCCCCTCACCCCCAGTCTGGAGCACCTGCAGCCTGCTGTCCGGTGCTATGGATGTACCTGTTCCGGACAGTTCACAGACACGCGACCGTGTAGTATGTGGTCTTTCATGACTGGCTTCTTGCACTTAGCATGGTGTTTTCAGGATTCATTCACGATGTGTCAGGTGTCTGTACTTTCTGTGTATCATTCCTCTCTGTGCCTGAAGAACGTACCACTCGATGACTATACTACTGCATTTTACTTGTTTGTCATGATGGACGTGGGGTTGTTTCCATTTTTTGCTCGTTGTGAATAATGCCGCGCTGAGAGTGTATGTGCAAGCTTCTGTGTGGATGTGTGTACACGCAGGAGTGGCATTGCTGAGTCAGATGGGATCGCAACTTTTTGAGCAACTGCTTCCCATGTTGCCCAGGCTGTTTTTCATTCCCACCAGGAACTACCTGTTCCTGCTCATCATTTATACTCCTCTTTAAACACAGCATGATGCCACTCACAGGAATCTGTAGAGAGTGTCCAGTGAATCAATGGTGCTAGGTCTCCGGGACCAGAGCAGAGACCAGGAAGGGAAAGGCACGGGGTACTTTCTGGGTGAGGGAAATGTTTTTTGGCTTGGTGGTTTAGTGTTTTTCATAGATACATTTGTCAAAACTCATCAAACTGTTCATTTAAGATCTGGACATTTCATTATGTGTTGATTATGCCTACATTAAAGAAAAAAACATACAAATAAAAAAAAAATGTAGGCGGAGGGGGGGGAAAGAAAAAAGCATCAATTAGCTCATGACACGACTTACCCACCCCAGACAGAGAGCTGCGGCTGGCCAGGCCAGGTATAAAAGTCTTTAATTGATGTGATTAACTACATCTCAACAGGGAGCCTCGTTAACGCCAAGGGGAGAGGAAAGGGAGTTTATTTTTCACTCTCCCAACTAGAGGATGTCTGGAAGGGGGTCATGGGGGGCACTAGGAGGGCTGGTCCAGGCTCTTCTGCAAAGTAGAGCTTTTTTCCCTTTGGCACTAAGATACATTTAAAAAAATTAATTTTCTCAATTGCTACAAAACTTAGTTTCCATTTATTTATTTTCACCTAAGAGGAGGAGGAAGCCAGCCCAGGAATTTTTTTTTTTTTGCGTGAGTCTGTCTTATTCACCAGACCCGACATTTAGACAGAACACTCTTTAACCTTTAAACCTCCCTAAATACTTTAGTGGCTGATGAACAGACAACAGGAAACAAACAAAAAAAAGAAGTGAAAGGTGTGTGATTTCTCCCCTTTAGAATCTGCAAACAAGTTTCATGGTTTGACATAAACTTATGAAAGATGAGGATTGAGCAAACATCACTAATTATCCACATATTATATTTTTGATACATTGCAAAAATTGCATCATTTTATTTGTAGGTCAGGAAAAACATATATTTGGCTAGGAAAAAAAAACCCTAGAAGTGTATACAACACAGTTATTTAGGGTAAGAAGTGAATTCATGTGTTTTTTTTTTTTTTCCTTATTGTTCATCTGTGATTTATTATTTTTAATGACCATTTATTGCTTGTGAGTATATTGCTTGTTAAGAAATCATTTGGGTCCTCTCCCCGGGTGGAGAGATCAGTTTCTGTAGGCTTCCCTCTCTCTAGAGCGGACTCCGATGCCCTGCAGCAGGCAGGGCTTTGCATGAAGCATTGACCTTGAACTGTGGGGTTAGCTAGGTCAGGGTCTGATCCTGGGATCTTCAGGAAGTCACAGATTCTTTTCTGTCTTGGTTTCCTCGTCAGGATAGCACTGCTAATACTCTCGGGGTGAACTGATTTGAACCGTACACTGGAGCCCTCCTGCACAGTCCTCGGGCTGCCTCCTACACCTGGCAGAAGCATCAGGACACCTGCATGCAGCGTGTGGCGTGCATGTGTGTGTGCCCATGCACGCGCGACGTGTGCACCACTTCTGTGTGTGCGGCCTGACATTAAACAAAACATCCTCCCATGGATGAGCTGAGACAGCTGGCTTCTGGAGCTAGTTCTCCATCACAGACCAAAGGCAGGACGAATGGCAGCGAACAGCTGGGTGACAGCACTCGGTATCTTCCTCCCTGTAGTTTGGTCCCTGGCCGCGGTGGCTTCTGTCTTCCAGCAGCGTGTCCAGTACTTCGGAAACGTTCTCTTCCTGCACATCAGAATAGTCGAATGCCATCCCAGATTGACTGTGAGTATCCTTGTTTTGTTTCCGTTTGTTTCCCAGGTCTGGGGGAGGGGCCAGCAGAGGGTGAGTCAGGGTTTTGCAGTTTGTTTAAGCTGGTGGAGCGTACTGGGCAGAAGAGATTTGCAGGCATGCAAAACAGGAGCCACATGCTGGGACCTCTGTTTCACCCTCTTTCTTCAGCGTTGCCTCCCCCACCCCTGTTCTCAGCTTCTTTTTATGGCAGTGGTTTTCATAGGTCAGTTTGCAAATGATCACCTGGGAAGCTTGCTGAAATGCAGATTCCTGAGCTCCCCCACCCGCTGTTCTAACTCACTGGCTTTGGGTGGGGCCTGGAAAGCGGCATTTTTTTTTGCCAAACAGCTCAGATGGGTCCATTGCCCTGGAAAGTACTAGAAGCAAGAGTGCCTGGGACCTGTCAGGATTTCACAAACAAGTTTGAGAATAGATACAATTGTTAGTTTCAGAAGATGAAAACAAAGCTGAAAAATTGAAGTAGTGATACATAGTTGTATAACTTTATAGCAGCTTGCAAGCACAGCTCAACTTTTGTGGTCAAACAGGAGTTATTTTAGTGTAGCATCTGGATAGGTTAAGATGCTTGATATGCTGCGGACCAGGTCTACGAGAGCCTGGAAAAAGCCCTAACAGCGTGGAACCAGCTCTGAGAAATAAAGCCCTAGATGATTTCTTTTTTAAAAATATGTTTTTGTTGATTTTAGAGAGAAAGGAAGGCAGAGAGAGAGAGAGAGAGAGAGAGAGATCAGTTGCCTCCTGCATGCACCCAGACTGGGGATTGAACCTGCAACCTGGGCAGATGCCCTGACCTGGAATCGAACCGGCCGCCTTCCGGTGCACAGGATAACGCTCCACCCACTGAGCCACACCGGCCAGGGCACAGATGATGTCTTGTTTTCAGCATTTCAATCTGAAAGTGCCTTTAGAAGTGTTCTACTTCAGTCCCCAGGGTTGCCGTCAGGGAAACTGAGGCCTAGAGGGAGAGCGACTTGCTCAGGGTCAAACAGTAGGTCTCTGGAAGAGTCCAGACCGGCACCCAGCATTCACAGCTCATGTGCGTGTGCACAAGTGCCCAAGGCCTCGTTCCGTCCTGCCCAGCGGTGTCTTCCCATCTCTTTCCCTTTGGCTTCTCTTCCTCTGGTCCCTGTGTTCTCAAGCTCGTCTCGAACCCTGAGGGGAGAGGAGAAAGTTGTGGGGTCTCAGGGTGGACACTACTAAGCAATAGGCATTGCAAGGGACAAGGCCTGTCTTTGGCGTCGTCGTCCCCTGCGGAGGAAGAAGCGGGCTGAGTGACTCACTTGACACGGAGGTGTGAAAAGTGGGCCGGCTTCTCAGCACCCACTGAACACCTACTGTGTGCTGAGCGTTGTACACGTGCTGCGGGGGACAGCAGGGAGTGCAGCCCTGCCCTCGGGCACCGACAGGTCTTCATTCATCTAGTCCTTCTACAGGCACCTGCTGAGCACCTACCTGTGCCCGGCACCCAGAACAAGGCGAACACGGAGTTTAGGTCCCAGGGGGGAGACGGGGTGTCTGGGTGCAGGCGAGCCGGGGCCAGGGCTCGATGCCTCTGTCCCCAGAACTGCGCTCAGCAGCCCCCCCCCCCCCCCCCCTGCCTGAGCGGCGTCCGCACCGGGCGGAGCTGATGTTCGATCAGAGCTGGTGTCCGTTCACCTGCCTTTTCTCCGTCGGGCATCGCAGCCTTGCGGTGAGCTCGGTGGTTCTGCGAGTGTCGCTGCGGTTCACAGATGAGGGAACTGAGGCACAGGAAGGCAGCTTGCTCAGGGCCACAAGGCTAAGGGTACGGAGCCAGGGGGTGCACCGGGCGGCTTGCCTCCAGAACCCCCACGCTTACCTGCCGAGCCTCACGGCTTCTCGAATCCTACCTTCTCCTGGCGGCCGTGAGCAAGGTGCTGTGCCGGTCGCAGGGCAGCATGTGCCACAGTCAGGTCCAGGCAACTCCCCCCACCCCCACCCCCCGCCCCAGGACACCTGCCTCACAGGGCTGTGAAAGTGCCAAAGGAAACGCTCATATTTTAGGGTGCTTGGCGCTCAGTAAAAGTACTAGGGCGTTTTAAAATAAATTCTTGCCGGTTGAATGAATGAATGATAAATTCCACATGCCCCGGAAGGAACGTAGCTTTTATTGTTTCCGAAGCTGTGCCGTCTGGAGATTAGGATTGTCCTTCCTCGCCCCCTGCGACCAGTTCTGGCCACGGGCAGTGAGCAGAAGCGATGGGCCACCCCTGCCCTTCACGCTGTGATGCTAGCGAGCACCCTCCCCGGGTCTGTCTCTCTCCCTTCGGCCCCGTCTGTCTGTCTCTCCCCAGGTCTGTCTGTCTCTCTCCCTTCGGCCCTGTCTGTCTGTCTCTCCCCAGGTCTGTCTGTCTCTCTCCCTTCGGCCCTGTCTGTCTGTCTCTCCCCAGGTCTGTCTCTCTCCCTTCGGCCCCGTCTGTCTCTCCCCAGGTCTGTCTCTCTCCCTTCGGCCCCGTCTGTCTCTCCCCAGGTCTGTCTCTCTCCCTTCGGCCCTGTCTGTCTCTCCCCAGGTCTGTCTCTCTCCCTTCGGCCCCGTCTGTCTGTCTCTCCCCAGGTCTGTCTGTCTGTCTCTCTCCCTTCGGCCCTGTGCCTGGCAGCGCCCCTGCCAGCCTGGTCCGGATGGCGCCAGCACTGGTGGCTGGCTGTGATGGACACACAGCTTCAATGAGCAATTCCTTTCGGCTGCTGGAAGCCACCGACACTGGAGAAAACACGCTAGGGCAGCACAGTGTGGCCGCTTCTGATGGACACACCCTGCAGGGCAGAGGCTTGAACTGTCCCCGGGACTGATTGGGAAGGTCTGCCTGGAGGCCCGAGCGGCCAGACATGCTGAGGTCCCACCTGGGCCCGATGGATCGGCCACACCTGTCATGCACGCAGGCACCTCTGCCTCCCTCCGCGCGTAGCTTTTAGGGAGTTCCTCGCTGGGCTCTTTCTCCAGTGCATCCTGAGGGCTGCCCAGTGGACTCCCATGAAGCCCTCTCACTGTGGCCTGCTCTGTAGCCTCCACTCCTCTGCCAGCGTTCAGGGTCCTCCCCGTCTGGACCTCACACGCTCCAGGACCCGAGTGTTTGCTGTCTGTTCTCGTGTCAAAGGCTCCTTGCTGGCCCATCTGGTGCGGCTCAGTGGTTGAGCGTCGACCCAACACCAAGAGGTCTCTCTGGTTCAATTCCCGTCAGGGCACATGCCCAGGTTGTGGGCCCGATCCCAAGTGGGGGGCATGCAGGAGGCGGCCAGTCGATGTTCTCTCTCATCGATGTTTCTATCTCTCCCTCCCTCTCTCTTCCTCTCTCTCTAAAATCAAATAAAAAAAATTTCTTTTTAAAAGGGCTCCTTGCTGGACAGCAAACAAGTGTCCCGGTCCCCACTGCAGGCTTTGATCACTGTCCCCCTGAAAGGTGCCCACCCACCTGCCATCCACCTGCACGGCCAGTTTTCAGATTGAGCTCTCAGAGGTCTGCCCTTTGAGCCCACAGTGACCTGCCGCCTGCACCCAGACCACCCACGCCCACACTCAAGCCATCCTTGTGGTTTTCACTTCGTTCCTCCGTGGCTTCTCTCACATTCTTCATGTCGAAACCTCGACTCCCTAACTTGGGTCTTCCCTTGAAGAACGGCCTTGGCGTTGCAGTTCCCCACTGCGGTCTCTGGGTGATAACAGCCACTTGAGAAATAAGTCGGTAGAGAATTGGGTGGATGGGTGACGCAGGGCTGGGGAACAGAAGGGGGAAACCAGAGCAAAGTCACCTTGGGACCTCACCCGGTCTACCTCATCCAGTCCGTCCTGGAGGTTGGAAGTCCCTTCTGAGAAGGTGCAGGGAGCCTGGCACAGACCCCAGTGCTGTGGTGGCACGGATTGGCCCTCTGGGAAAACGGCTTGTGAGGAGCCATCCAGGTGTCCCTGTGCCCTTGTTGCCCGCCTGGAGGAACGTATGACAGGGTCCAGGAGAAGGGAAGGCGGGGACATGCGTGCAGGGAGAGGGTCTTTGAAGCTGAGTGCATTCCGGGGCAAATCTGAAACAGAGTACCACCCAGGGTCCCATGGTGCTTCTGTGCCCCGAAACTTCCCCAGACCCCGAGGGCTCGTGATGGAGAGGATCCGCCTCCTTAAGGAGAGCGGCAATTGTGATGTAACGGTCGCACACAGCATTGGGTCTTTCCTGGAATTACAGAAAGTGAGAGAGATGTGTTCGTTGTTGGACAGATGAAGATTGTGTTGCCTACTTGGGGTCCCGGAAGTATGACGGGGCCTTTTCTCTTCTGTCTTCGCCTCTCTTCCTTTTGGTAACCGGCCTTATCCAGTTATAAACATGGTTCATTGCAGCAGATGAAAAGAAAAATAAATGTATGGATGGATTTGTAGGGCCCGGTGGGTCCCAAGAGTGGCCGCCTGAAATCCCTACTCCCTCAGACTGAACACAGGCCGTGACAGGTGCTCTGGGGTGAGAGGTGGGTGCTGTCCCCCGGTACGTCAGTGCCGTGTGCCTCACCCACCGTGATGAGCTGCGGAGCCCCAGCGCAGCGTCTGGTCCGAGCATGGCTCCATGAACGACATGCCCTTTGTGGCTGTCAGATGCCATCGTTGAGCTTTTTGTCCTTCCCATGTCCTATCTCATTTAAAACCCATCATGATGGTCCCAGGGGAACCACTGTTATGTGAAAACCCCTTTTACTGATGAGAAAGCTGAGTCCTTAGTTGTCATCCAGAGTGCCTCGGCAGCACCCCAACTCAGGCTCTTAGCATAAGTCTCCTGGATGCTCACGGGACAGCTGAGGGCGCACCCCCAACTCAGGCTCTTAGCATAAGTCTCCTGGATGCTCACGGGACAGCTGAGGGCGCACCCCCAACTCAGGCTCTCAGCATAAGTCTCCTGGATGCTCACGGGACAGCTGAGGGCGCACCCCCAACTCAGGCTCTCAGCATAAGTCTCCTGGATGCTCACGGGACAGCT